GCAACCTCACCGCGAGCACCTCCCCCTGAAGCCCCGCCCACTCCCAGCAACCTCACCGCGAGCACCTCCCCCTGAAGCCCCGCCCACTCCCAGCAGCCTCACCGTGAACTTCTCCCCCCGCTTGAAGGGGAAGTGGGACTCTCGCTGCTCTCTCCCCCACGATCCACCGGGCGCCGAGTTCATCACGATAGAGTTTTGTCCTCCCGCGGTGTAATCGTAGAAGCGAGGGTTGAAATGTAGCGCCAAGTCCGAACTCGAGCTCCCCACATTAATCGCAAACCTGACAGGGGAGCAGAGACAAAACAGACAGATGACAAGATCAGAGGCAATTGAGGGAAGAGCGCCCCTGAAGTCAAATAAAAACCTGACGGGCCTACAAAGCACATCCAAACGCATCCCACTGGACACACACACAAACCCCAGCATTGCCCTGACCTCTTTGGTGTGGTATGCTTTGGACACCTTCATGAACTCTTCAACAGCTATTAAGGTTAGTAACAGCATACAATCATGTTATATGCTAACAATGTTCTGTTATTTTTATCAAAACCCTAAAGCGTCCATTCGCAGGTTAATTCCTACGATTCTGTTCGGTGCATCCTCTGTTTATAGGTAGCCTGCAACACATAACCTAATAATCCCTCTCCATTGCCTTTTGCGTGGTTACATTCGTGATGCGTTTGCGTCGGTACATCTGTCCCACCCCGATTTAGTCAGATGTTTAAGGATAAAGTCTGGGCTCTTAACCACCAGGGCAGGTGGATCGTCCTGCTTCATAAGACTCAGGCCTTGGTTTCAATCAAAACCCCAGTTAACATACATCATCTCCATCGACATCCACGCACAGAGCTTCAGGGTCTCTTATTTGCTAGCTGAGAGCTTACTGCCTTGCTTCAGTCTAAAAGGGCTCTTATTAACAGGTGATCAACTGACAATGATCAGGCACAGGCGGGGGTGAGAATGGAGCACACACGCCCACATCGATTGACACACCCACAGAAGGACAGTCCTGAATTTCTGGACTCAGGGCTCAGGGTTGGGATCAATTATAAACCCCATCCAACCTTTTAAGAGCTGAAAGACATGTCAAACATATCATTTAAATTTTCTGTAAAAAAATAAGCATTGACATTTTTCTCTTTCTGAGCCTGTGTTTACCTACGCCCTGAGGTGGACGGCTTCCGATCCAGTGCCAGAATTCTGACTGTATTCCATCATGACCTGGGCCTCAGTACTGGTGGACAAAAAAAAAAAACCTTTGTATTTCTCTCACCAGCCAGCCGCTGGATAGACATAGCCTCTGATCTCCATCGTTTCTCCTTTCTTGAAGGGCACTTTGTCAGTGAAGACTTCCTGTTCGGAAAAATTAAATAAAATAATTCCTTATGGCAACCCTGCTCCCAAAGGGCTTTTACACACTCAGGAGAAAACAGAGCGCTCCAGTACCCCATCAAAGCCCCACCCGAGAGACACAGGAGCCCCAGGAGTGCGCAGATCAGGGGCAGGACAGAGAAGCTGCTTCACCAGCTGAATGAAGGAGGAGCTTTGGGGAGGTTAGGTTGTACCCGAGCACTTCAGCGAGGCTCCAACTGCAAACCAGGGTAGAGTTTAGCCTGGACACAGGGGTGAACGAACACCCCTGCTCATACACTCACCCTGGGGATCTGTCATGACCAAAGGAGTCAGGACCTGAGCTCATCTGAATGCCCCCCCTAGTGGGGCACTGGTTTGGAAGTTCAGGTCCAGAAGGAAGAGCACCCCCTACTGGCAGGGGTGTGTCACCAACTGCACACAATTCGTTTCAACGAACATAAGCAGAAGACTGTGGAAAAGTGGCATCTCTGCCTTCTGGAGTCCTAACAGCCCACAGCCCAGCCAAACCACCACTGGAAGAGGACCAGCAGGGGGCACTGACAGACTAAAGATGCTGTTACACACAAATACTGCACTGACTCAGGGCAGTATGGTGGTACAGTGACACACATTGCTGCTGCAAACCCTGGGCTCAATACAAGACCAGAGGTGTTATCTGTGTGGAGTCTGCATGTTCTCTCAATGTTCATGTGGGTTTCCTCAGGGTGATCCAGTTTCCTCACACAGTCCAAAGGCATGCCGACAGGTTGGTTATTGACTTCTGGGAAAACTGACCCTGCCGTGTCTGTGCGTGCCCTGCAATGGACTGGCATCCTGCCCCGGGGTGTACCCTGCCTTGTGCCCGTTGCTTGCTGGGATAGGCTCCCCTGCTATTCTAAACTGGATAAAACATTTAGACAAAGGACGGCTGGAGTGCTGAACTGCACTTTCTAAAACACGAACACAATTGAGAGGCGGCGTTCGAATTTGTGGGGGAAAGAAAAAGACGTAGAATGCTTTTTTTAAATATATTTGCAAATGGCGCCCCGTGCACTGCATTGAAAACGCTTTTTTTTCCCCTAAGAAGCCGCACTGAGCACTTTTTAACTAGGACTTTTATTGAACTAGAAGTGGAAATACAGTGTCCGATCGGAACTCACTTGGGCCGGCAGCTGGTGGGCCGCGCAGAGCAGAACACAAGCCGCGAAGGTCCAGTCCGCGACTCGAAACATGTCTCCCCGGGTTTTTCCACTTCGACTGGACTCTCCAAGTTCCCGCACGTAGATAACCCCTCTTTTCTGATAGAGCTCTCCGTCCCCCCTCGCTGCCGTCCACCGATAACCAGAAAAGGGGGTGTCCCTACAAGACCAGCCGTGAAACGCAGACCAATAGACCAGAGTTCACGACGAATGACAACGCCCCAAATCAAAGCGCAACGAACTACTGTAGAGCGAACATTTGGCTTAAGCCGCTTGGCCGAGGGCCGACCTCCTGCCCATAGGACGAGGAGGCCAGGACCCCCCATTCAAGGTAACCAAGGGGCCGCTGCAGGGGGTGGAAGTGGGATGCAAAGTCGCGCAGGAGGGAGAGAGAGAGATAGCGCATTTGGTATTTATAGCGTTCGGTGGAGGAAGGAATTGAGTGATTGCTAATCACTGACGGCTGGGGGTGATTGAGCGCGGTTGTTCTCCTTTCGTCTCGAAACAGTGTCAGTGGGTTTCGTAGACTTGGTAAAAAAAAAACAACAACAACAGACGCTTCGCTTACGCCTTGCAAGCAGTTCTGAGAATTAGGAACGCGATTCCTTTGCTTGGGCGTGGCGTCATAGCGTGCGGCTCTCCGGAGAGCCCAGTTCTGGACTTGCTTCAGCTCTGCGAGTGAAGATCTCGCTGAGCGATGTGTTGTGCGGGGGGGGATATCCGTCTGATTCTCCGGCAAAGCGGCACGTTATGTGCAGGAGAGCTGCAGCACCGTCTTCCCCTCGGTCTCCGATCCACAAATCTTCAGGGCAGTGTAATGCAAGGCGCCATAAACACTTTTCCACACTGTTAGTGCGGTCTGGTTCAGATCTGTTTCTACAGCACTTAGAGTTGTGCGGGTACCCCATCACAGTGTTCCGAGGTGACCCTCTTAGATCACAGCCCCTGTCGGAAGGCCTGTACCCCACTCCTGTCGCAGGGAAACTCCCAGTGTTTTGCCAGTGGCCACACCCTACAGTTCCAAAACCCCACCAGTCTGCAGGAACGTTAATACATGTTCTGGCCTCAATAGTGTCGTCTGTCCTTTAAATTAGACAACGTATTGATGGTAGCATATGTGTGTGTTAATGTGAACATATTGGGGGTGGTGTACTGTATGTCTCCAAAATTGCTACAGCATAAACAAAGAAGTTTTAGAATTTTTATATTTCAAGCTCGAAATCAGAAATTTCCCACTCTATTGCGGAGAGGGTGGTTTCAAGAAATTCCTCCCAGTAAAGATGACCCCCCCACCGACACCTGAACTGCCAGAAGTGTATGATCAGTATGATTATAAATACTTGATAAACTGTACAAAATAAGTCACAGCTGGCACACCATGCACACAGTCAAAGGGTGTTGGGTGGTTTTTAAAAGATGATAAAATACTGACTGAAGGTCTCCAAGCCCCCCCAGGGGTCCCAGTTTGCTCTAAACGCGTTAACTAGAAAGCGAGCAATAAATAAATAAAAAAACAACTCAGGCTCATTAGGGATGTGGGATTGCATACTCTGGTCCAGTCAGGGGTGCTGTACTCGGTCTTGAACCCCTGGAGCAGTGATTCTGTCCACTGCCTTCACCCCAGCTGAGATCGACAGCTCCAGTGCTAACTGAGGGGCTGGCTTGACTCGACTGTGGCCCAACTTGTTTCTTCTGTCCGAATTACCGACTTCAGGCATCCCGTGTCCAGCACCTTCAGCAGAGAGGAGTTTGGACAGTTTCTCCTCCATTTCCCCGTTTCACTCTGTCCCATCGGAGCGAATGGCTCTTTCTCATGGAGCAGCAGATGGACACGGGTGGAAATGACACCGCGAGACACGCCCACAGCGGGGGGGGGTGTCACTTTATCACCCCTGCCCAAGTGGGGTGTGACTCTGGATTAGACACACTCACAATGAGGGTTTCATTCTACCACAGAAGGCCAACTGCTTAAGCTTTCAGGAAACGGACAACAGTGGCATGAGTTTCAGAGAGGCCCCATTTCACACCATTTTCAAATCCCATTTGGCCTTTTAAGAGCTAAAAGCAAATTTCCGAAATATGCCCCATAACTATAAAAACAACCCGCAATGAGGACTTCAGCTGGAGCACGACGCTTCAGAAGAGAGTGTGTCGCTGCAGGACCAGGACTGGGAACCACTGGCCAAGACTACAGCAGTGGGCTCAACACTCAGCTCTGTTAGCTTGTGGTCCTGCCTGACCCTGCCGATCTCAGGTCTGGGGTCCAGGCCCAAGACGGGGTCACAGCAGAACTACAGCACACTGGTTGAGCTAAAGTTTACAACTCCCAATTGCAGCAATAAAACACAAGAAACACATTGGAGCACCCCATCACTCCTTTATTGAGAAAAGAGGTTCACACGCCTGGATTCATTTCTGCACAGTAGAGGAGTTAGCAGAGCTATGCGTCTTGTACAAGTTTACAGTGGTAAATCTACACGCCTGCCTGGTTTTCCTCTCTGGTGGTATCACATTTCCCAACACATTCCTACATCTCCATAAAACGCTAAAAGTAATAAACTGCAGCTGTTGAGGAAACAATCAGTATTTTTCCTTGTTTCCAGGTGTAAGATAACGCAAGCTGTGTGTGTGTGTGTGTGTGTGTGTGTGTGTGTTGAAGGGGTTGCAGCCTTGAAGTGAACCAATAGTACAAAAGATCGTGACCAACATCTGGCTGGGCTCCAGATCAACCAATCAGCATCTGGAATCATGGGGCCCCGCCCCCTCCACGTGTTGGCCCCGCCCCCCGACAGGGTGCCCTAGTCGACCTTGATAGAGACGAACTTGGCGTTGCCGTCCATGTGGAAGTAATTGTACATGTCGTCTCCATGGCGATTGGGGAAGGTCACCACGTTGCCGTCGGGCAGCTTCACCTGGAAGGAGTCTTTGTTGTGCGTGATGTACACCTGGGAGGGAGAGAAGATCGGGGTCTTTCAAATGCCAGTTCCCTATGCTGGAGAGGAAACGCCAACTTGAATGCTGCCAGATCCAGCTACCAGAAAGCCCAACACACAGGGATGAGGGTGAGAGACAACAAGGAGGTGCAGAGCCCGGTGAAGTACCTGCCCAGTGAGCACAGCCTGTAGATGAACACTGGACACAGGCAGACCTGGGGGCTGCTTATGAGAGGACATGCTCGGTGATCACAGTCTGGCTATAGAAGCTGGACACAGGCAGACCTGGTGGCTGCTTATGAGAGGACATGCTCGGTGACCACAGTCTGGCTATATAGAAGCTGGACACAGACAGACTTATCTGTCCAAAGAGGACAGGCTCAGTGACCACAGCTGACCTGGCTGCACCACTGCCAGTAGGGAGAAGCACAGATCAAAAAGCACTTTCTCCCAGACTGTGAGAAATACTCGGGGATTAGACACATTCTCGCTCAGAGAGAATCAAACGGCATAATCAGAACAGAACCCATCCTCCTGGTGAGGGAAACTCAGCAGAGCTCATAGGCCTGTCCGGGATCTCCCGTCACAGCTTGAGGAACAGAAGGAGTCTCTCAGATAATACTTTCATTTTAATTTGAGAGAGTGGGAGGAGGGGTTGATACCTCACCAACTAAACCGGAAACTAGAGAATGTGTCACACTGCACTGAGGGGGGGGGGGATCAATACAGGATATGACATCACTGCAGTGAGAGAATGAGGGGAGCAGAGAGACGATGCCCCACACCCATTAACAATACACTGGCAGACCGTGATCACTCAGACTGTCCATATTAACCACACTCGGCAGCAGATTAAAACCCTGCCAACAGGGAGGCGGCCACACTGCCTGAATGGGACACTACCTCATCTTCACACTTCACTGGCAGAGCGTTGGTACAGACACTCTGACTGACTGACCAGCTGGACCCTATAGCATGTTCAAATCGCCAGCAGATCTGGGGTACCTTGCTTGGGCTGGGGTTCGGAGTTCCTACAAATATCCCGAACCTCTGCTAAAATATCTCAAGGGAAGAGGCGGCAAATTCCCTACATGAGGAAATAAAATGAAGGATGCTGGGAAGTTGTGTAATGACAGCTTTTTTCCCCACTTGAGGGCGACATATCCACATGTAAAATAGTATTCGATGCGGGATGAATGAAGTACATCTGCCCATTTTCTAACAGACTGGAGTTGTGAGCTTCTTCCAATCCAGGGTCGCGGGGAGCCAGAGCCTATCCCAGCAAGCAGTGGGCAGGACACACCCTGGGCGGGACGCCAGTCCATCGCAGGGCAGACAAACGCAGACACGCACATCAATGACATACAATTAAGAAAAATAAAGGCCTGCATACACAATATTGTTAATGTTTCACTTCTCTTAATACAAAACGATCCGGGTTAAAGTCCAGAGACTGTTAAATTTTACACAATCATCGTTCTGAGTTTTACGTTTTGATCTATATTTATCGGACGTTACACAACATGCCCTGCTGTAAGCTGGCTTCCAAGAGGGTACATACATTTAGCAATAACTGCCAGCATCACTGGTAGGGATGGACACTGGCCATGCTTGAATGACGGGGAGGAAGACTGCTTGCAAGAGCTCGGGCCATTTCCAGGCTTAAAGCGCCCTGTGAATCCCTCACACGTGCTCGGGGTGCGTCAGAGCACCAGGAAACACTAGGCCTGAGCTTCTCACTGCTCGTCAAAAAGACGGAATTGGAATCGTTTCAGCACGATTCAATTCCCATTCCAGGAAGCGACAATTTAAAGGGCACAGCACCGTGCAGTGGTTAGGAGTGCCGCCTTGCAGCGTGGGGCCCCGGGTTCAAGTCCGGAACTCGTTGCTCGCCCGGGATAGACCCCCGGCTCTCCTGCGATCCCTAGTCGACGAAGGGGTTAGAATGCAGGAGGCTGGCTCTTTAAAGGAGGAGTCGGCCCGTTTGGGTTGAGAGATTCCACCCACCCCGTGACGTGGCCATGCTGAAGCAGAGAGCCTGTATTCTTATTGCCCATCAAGAGTCTTGCCGCGATCTAAACTCCACGCAGACAGCACCCCAGGTCCGGCACTGAACCCCCCAGCGCCGCACGGCAGCCGTGCTGCCCCCTGCGCCACTCTGCTGCTCTCCACTAGGTGGCAGTAAGGTCAAGGTCAAGACATTGTTACAAGCTGGTCCATCTTTTAAGACAACAGTTGGAATGGCCATCGACAGCGAGAGATCTCGCAACCCAGCTTCGTTGCAGGAGCATCTGCAACCCATGTGCTTGTTCTGGGGGACCGACCCCACCCGCCCCACCTGGCCGCGGTGGTTTGAGAAGCCCCGCCCTCCCCCCACCAGCCCACCTTGAACGTTTCTCCCGCCTGGAAGGGGAAGACGGACTCCCGCTGCTCCGAGCCCCAGGCCCCGCCCTGCCGGGAGTTGCACACGATGGTGTTGGAGTCTCCGTGGGCATTGAAGCGGGGGTTGAAGTGCAGGGCCAGGTCGTTCTCCGAGTGCCCGATGTTGATCGAGAAGCTGTTGGGGGGGAACGAAAGGACAGAGAGAGGTTTGGTTCACTAACGACTTCAATTACTTATTGAGCGGGTTTGTTAACCCCTACTGTCCTGGTCAGATGTCCCCCTGGCCTTTACCCCTCATGGCCTCCTAATAACCCCCCTCTCTGAACTGGCTTCATCACTCTGCTCTCCTCCCCACTGAGAGCTGGTGTGTGGGGAGCGGACTGGAGCATCATCCAGGTGGGGGTACACACCGGTGGGGGTGGAGGGGATCCCCGTGACCTGTCCAGCGCTGTGAGTGGGGTGTCCAGAAAAGCGCTATATAAGGTGTGTTGAATTATATCGATGAGGACGGTGTGGCTTGAGCAGTAAAGGGACACGGAGCCTTCAGTCCAGGTCTTGGGGTTTCTCCCTAACAGAGGGTCACTGGTGGCGGTAGTGGGATTCCTCCTTAGCTACACAGTGCTTTGAGTGGATTGTCCAGAAGGGCGCTGTAGTATGGCGCTATGTACGGGTTATTGTCATCATAAGATATACAAGTAAGCAGACAGATGGTTTAAGGTTCAACAACAGGGGATCCCAGCTCCAGGCCTCAAGGGCCACTGTGTAGGAGGTTGTATAGATCTCTCTACATCTACAGTGCATCAGGAACAAGGAAAGGCTGCAGCTTGTCCCATCATGCAAATAAAGAGTTCAATTATTAAGTAATTCCGGGCTCGGACAGATGGAAAACCAGAAAAGGTTTGGGCTCTCGGACGCTTGAGTACAGATGCAGAGCTACCTGCTGTTAATACTGGACCAGAACCATAAAATATGATCCACCTGCCACTACATTCAGTATATTCAATTTCTTTTTTCCCAAATAAGTGTAAGAATTATTATAACGAGCCTAGAAGATCGCATTGCAGGCGCACGGCCCCCCATTTCCTGAAAGTCCAGCACTGCAGGGGCCCCAGGTGTTTCCACAGCTGTCGAAGGGTCTTGCAAATTTTAACTTTCCAGTACACACCCTGACAAGACCCTCCCCACACAGACGGGCCCAGGCAGAGCCCGCCTCACACGCCACACGCACGGCGATCCAATACCGGGTGGGAAGGGGGTGTCGCTGCTGTGGGAGTCTGTACCCACAGGGTGGTGGGAGCATGGAACAAGCCGTGCCGTTCTGAAGCCGTTTACAGGGGTACAAGTGCACATTCCTCACGGTCTATCCTGCGCTGCTGCGGCCATGCGATTCGACTTTTAATTTGGACTGACAGCACAAACATTACTGCACGGAAGAAGTGACTAAACCACCCCAAGACAGCGAGGAGCCTCCTGAAACTCCCGACACAGCCCGACACCCCAAAAAAAAAAAGACTCCGAGTTAACTCCGATGGGATGAATAATCAGTTGTCGTTCAACTTCATTGGATTTGTTGGGGGTCCCCCCCCTCCACCCCTTCTCCGGACACTTACCAGCTGGCATCCGAGTTGATGGCGGCTTTCACCTTCATCGTCTGCCCGGCCTTGAAGGCCAGATTCCTCACGCAGACCTGGAGAAGAGGGAAAAGGACCAGGGTCACAGCGCAGCTCCTCGCGATCCTGAGGAGCCAGCTGGGACCGAATCCAGAGTCTCCTTTCCCAGGCATCTATCTGGGATAAAACTGCCACCACCACCACCATCATCATCATCAGCAGATTGTCAGGGAAGTGGAAAACTCAGCCGGTTTCAGCTGAACCGCAGATTTTAATGACTCCCCATTTCCCAGGAAGCAGGTCTGCCAAATCCCAAAAAAAAAAAGCCGAGGCATAAAATGTCTGCCTTCTGCAAGGCCAGACGTCTGGGAGCAATTATATCCTCGTTTTCCACTGACAGGTCTCGTGTGGCGGGGGCGCTTTCTAGAAACGCGTCCGAAAGCACTCCCAGATTTCCGAGAGATTGAGTGAGAGCTCAAATGAGAGGAGGGGAGGGGGGAACCCCGAAAGCGAAGCCTGGGGTGTGGTTCGAGGGCGGGCTGGCGTGGGCGGATGAGGGATTTTGTTTGAATCGGATGACGCAAGTTTACATTTGCGTTAACATTTGAGTTACATTCAGCCTTTGGCAGAATTAAACAATTAAAAAAAATAAATAAATCGAGCACCCTGGCAGGATTGAGGATAAGCAGAGCGCATTCTTTCCGCGTGAGTCTGGCCGGAGCCCGACTCCTCTTGGCAGAAGGCCCTACCCAGCCCTCCTTCACTGGAGGGGACTCGGGCGAGAGGGTCCCGAACCCCGCGGATACGGGCAGGCCCTGGGAAGAGTCGGCCGGGTGTCGCCGAACACCGACCGGGGGAGGGGAGTGGGGGACGCTGCAGGACACTTCAAAGCCCCATCCTGTGTTCAGACTCGCCTACCATCTTGTCCAATCCCTGCCCCCCCCCCAGTCTCAGTGCTCAAAATGAGGTTTGCCATCAGTTCATCCCGTCTAAAATCACGGGACCCGGGGGTCGCCTGAGAACGCAGGTCTGTACGCCAAGGGTGGTGGGAGTGTGGAACAAGCTGCCCACTCATGGCTTCTTTCGGGAAGCGGCAGGAGGTTACCACCGGATCCCAGAGCTACTAGGAACCTCATGAGCCAGAAGGACCACATGGCCGCCTCTTGTCTGGCAACGGCGATCTGCCTTCAGGGTCACCCACCCCTCAGGTCACTAAGTCTTTGCATCCCTGAACAGCCATTGGTCTGTTCCTTCTGGCAGATCACAGGACTGCCCTTTCAAGACAAGGTTCTGCAGCAGACATTTTCCTTAGTCCTGGGAGTCTAAGCACAGGCAACACCCTTCATGGGCGAGATTCTTCGATCTGCAGCTTCCAGCTCCAGTCTTTAACGTCAACAAGGACCCTCACTGAGCAGCAGTGATCCCGCAAAGACCAGCAGGAGAGCAAGCGAGAGCTGAATTATGGGAAAGCCGCCAGCAGGCCTGATTGTCCAATCCCAGACTGGACTCCTACGGGCTCCCTGTGAATACCACACGTACCAGTACCCTGGTTTACCGTGGAAGTCCCGCACCCCGGTACCGGACGGGCCCAGCCGAGCCCCGCGATCTCGGGGAAGATACAGCATTAAAACGGAGCTGATAAAACATTCAAATTGCGTTTGAGAGGAAAAGTGCCCCTGGGTTTGTGTGAACTTTGTCAGCTGTTGCTGGATTAAAACCTTTAGCTTCCTGCATTCCTGCTCTGAAGCGTGCGGGTAACCTGTGCTCTATGGCCACTTTCCCAAATCTCTCCACACAGCCATGCAGATAAGCTAGGTGATCAGGAAGACCCTCAGTAATAGGCTGATTGAAGAGACTAGGCGGACTTTGACCCACGAAACAGGAAGAACAGGGCGGAAACTGGACAGATGCTAAGCGGCACATACACATTTTCCAAAGTCGGTGATCATTTGGAACACAAACGATCTGAACACCCAGCTACCCCACAGGACCAGAGTTCCCCGAGTTGCCCAACAGCTTTATAAGTAGGCTGCAAGGGAAGGTTTATTCCCTGTTGAAAAGAGAAGAAAGGAGACACAGCGTTTCGGCTGTGGAGCCTTCTTCGGGTGTGAACCCTTTACTTGTTCCTTTGCAGTCTTCGTGTGCCGTCGCAGCTCCCTGCTTGAACTACTTCATAATACGTAATGCTTATAATGCTTATAAGTAGTCCCCGTCTTTTAAAAAGGGTGAAGGTTGACCCCTCAACCTATAAGCAACAGGTCTCCCAGTCCGGTCCCCAGAGAGCCCCATCTGCTACTGGCGCCCACACACGGGCTACTGGTGTGTGGGCGCGGGTGCGGGCGCGTGCCGAACCTGGAACCGGAACCCGCAGCAGCCGTGACCGCGCGGACGCGCCCCGCGCTGCGCTGCGCTGCGCTCCGGGAGCTCGCGGGGCTGTCCGCCGGCGGTGTGCGGCTTGAACAAGCCGCAGATGGAGCAGGGCTGAGCTGAGCTGAGCCTGCAGCGGACTACACACATACAGTACACCCGTGCGCCCCCACCCCCGCCATCTCAAAGGGTTCTTTCGCCGGCTGCGGGGTCCTGGAAATGCGACTGTTGAATAACCGGTTAGAAAGCGGGACAGTTCTCTCTGTCTCTCTCTGCGTGTCCGTTAATCCTCACTAAGACTTCCTTGCATTTATAGAACAGTTTCTATCCCGAATACACCCCGGCTGGCCCATGCACTGAACTCCTGACATGAGCGATCAGATTCGCCTGTCCAGCCAGCGCGCCGGTTTATCCTCAACCCCCTCACCCCGACCGAAAGAATCCAGCCCGCTTTCGGGCTGCTCTGGGAGGTAACTGTGGAACATTTTTTCCCCTAGTTCTTTCAGAAGGGCAGCTCAGTTGTTGTTTTTTTTGTCACATCATTATTATTTGGTGTCCGTTATTTAACCTGCTGGCACCCGGCCCTACAGCTGAGTCACTGAATCAAGATGGGGATCCGTGCGGATTACGGTGCAAAGACTACGATTTGAGCGCGTTTTACTCAGTTCTGCAACGGAAAACAAAACACTTCTGTCATGACGAAACCAGACTACATCTACAGGAGTGAACGGGTTGGACTGCTAACCAACGCACAAGGTAAAATGCTCAGATAAGTTATTTTATCCTCCTCGCTTACAACACTGCAGGCTTTGATCCTGCCTTTTACCCTAAAACCCGTTTTTGAACTTTCTGACAGCGGAAACGAGAGTTTCTTGGTTTCGCTGAACCGCACCGCGCACACTTACCTCGCTCATCTCGACCGTCTTATCTCGCCGGACCGAGCGCGCACCGGGCTGGGGGCCCCCCTTATAAGGAGAAATCTGAGCGATTGACAACTCTCCTGGCCAATGGGGAGGCCGCTGGAGCGGGACGCGCGGCTCCTTCACCAATCAGAAGAGGGTGGGGGGGAGACGGCACTTTATTGGAATTTATTGCAGCTGCTTAGCTAGACTACGCCCAAGGTCAGAGCGTAGAGATTTATCTTTACAAGTCTTAAATACCCCATCCACATTCAGGATTATTACTTAAATACCCCATCCACATTTAGGATTATTATTTAAGACAGTTGCCATATTAACACCCATCTGTCTTAAATGGTGCTCTTTGCGTTCAACACCTCACAAACAAATTTCTTCAGTGCCTCGGCAAACAGCTATAGTCTTTTTTTTATCCCCGCAGAGAA